AGAATTGTGTTATTCACCAACAAGTGCAGAGTCATGATGGATTGTTTCGATGGCTGCGGAACTCTATGATGCCTGAAGGGTGATTCTAAGACTTTTCAACTGATGAATCAAGGAGGAGGTGGCAGATTTGGGCAGGGATTATCATGGAACCACCGTTATCGTACAATTCAGTTATCGTTCTCTTTTTCTGGTACAAATATGTCTCGGAAATCGTACATCTCTTCGGTTATCTAGCAAGGAAATCCACCCGTGATGAACCTGTACATTCCTGTTCGCTTGCTGCCACGTGACTTCCCCGAGTACCAGAAGAGACAGAGGAAGGAAATAACTCCATAAAATACTTACCTGGAGTCTCTATGGGATGGGGGATTTCCATTTAAAACAATAACACCTCTTATCGCTCCCCATCTTACATATGCCAACTCGAGTGTCCAAGAAAGGTAAGCGTCCCGGGTAAGACGATAAACTACATCAAACAGCAAAGCCTCTGATCAAGAGGCTTTGAGGAACATGGAACCGCCTCTTAATTGCTGGTGTTCTCAGGTCCACCCTGATCCGGGGTGGTAGCACTTGTTAAGGAGAGTCCCTGTTAAGAGAAAATCGTTAACCCCTAAACTGGAGTCAAAACACACCCCCTCCTTACCGTCTTAAATATGCCAACAAGCGTCATTCCGTATAAAATATCCTTTTTCTTATATATATTTTAGGTGTGTGGAACGCATTAATTTGGTTTACATTATTTCTCATTGAAATATTACTTTGTTTTTCTTGCATTTCTGTTTCCCGCCGAAAGTTGAGAACGAATCCAGTTCAATAACCGAGGTTCCACTGTATTAGCAGTGAGTTGGTTGGCTCCTGGACGGTTGCTAATGATTTCAAAATGAACCTTCTTGTCGAAATTGAATTCCACAGGATCAACCTTTCAAAATTCACGGCTCAAAAAAAATTCACCGACGTTCAAATAGAAAATGATATTCACAAACGACATTGCTCCAGCTCATACTGCCATTGTAACCTGTTTATATTTAGCTAAATTACGGTTTTAAAATGGCCGACATGGAATGGCCAGCGTGTTGGCCGGATCAATAAAAAATATTTAGAGCATCATCAAGAGGGCAAATAACAATTTTCATACAAGAATGAGAAGTAATATCAGATGTTTATGAAAGCCGTTACCAGAAATTTTGAATTTAACGTCTCCTATGGACACAAAGCTACTTGAATTCATCATAAAAAATGAACCAGCATCGGTTGGGATTGTAGAATACACAAAAGCACTTTTACAGAGGGCTAAAAATGATGAGGTCCCTTATTTGCCATGGGTGGCAACGGGTCATACCTGAATAAGGGATCCTCGTGGTTGGGGACTTTTGGGCAATATATAAAATCCTAAATTCCAACACACTACTTAGGATAGACGGACAATTGGACATGCCTGATCCTATCAACCGGCTGGTTATATTAAGCCCTAACTCAGATTATAATCTCTTCACAACACTGCCCTCTCCTTCAACCAAAGAAAACATCTGTGACCAATGATAACTAAAACCTGATTTTAATGTATTCTATGGACACTAGGCTGCTTAAAAAATGAAAATTATATCATCAAATAATATTACTTTTCTGTCCAAACTTATAATACTTTGGTTTGTATGCAGTTTATTTACTTGACCCCCCCACTTAATCAGGTTGTGACACAAGGTCGGTTTTTAACGTGGGGACCCGAGTGTTTTCACTCGGGTCGCTGGTCCAAGTTGGTCTTAGTTGGTCTAAGCTAGTCATAACTGGTCTTGGCTTGTCCTAGCTGGTCCAGACCCGAGCCGGTCCAAGCTAGGCGTAGCCGTGATCGAATCTTAGCCAAAAGGCCGAGAAGCGATCCTTTGGTTTGTATGTCGTTCCTATGAAGAAATCATTATTGTTTTTGGTCATTGCCATCCCATCCAATCATTTCAACATGATTCGTTTTATATGTTTGCATATCAATTGGAATCATTTAAATTCAAATATTTTGTATATTGCAGCATGGATTTTAATTTCATCTTAGATCTTGTGATATTCCTTATAAATATACAGCCTATAGTCATGGAGTAATTAGTAATTTCTTTCACAGTTATCATTTTATTGATTTGCATATAATTATCATCAGTTCTCAGCTCGATATCTACGCTGATGACGTAACTATTTATTTCTGACTTGATAGTAAGCCTGATCGGTTTGATAAGGTCAAATTGGCAGATGATCTCATAAATGATCTTCAATCTGTTCTTAACTGGAGCAAGAAATGATTCATGTCAAATCATAAAATGAAAGTGGCTTGAATGGCTAATCTGTTAGATCTTTTTGCAGGGTTCTATCCTTGAACCTTTCTAATTTTCATCAACAATCTTCCTGATCTCATCACTTCTCAACTCAGTATCTATTCTGATGACACAACTATTGACTCCTGTCTTAATAGTAAGCCTGATCGACTCAACAAGGTCAAATTGGCAGATGATCTAAAAAAATGACCTACAATCTGTTGTTAAACGGGGCGTGTTAATTTTGACGTCTACAAAAACGAAACTGCTCTCTTTTGATCACCTGAGACAACCCTTTTTACATTCTATTAGAATGGTTGATGCTACCTCCCGGGAGAGGGACACACTGTGCCTTCTCGAAATAACGTTTTCATCTGACATTAAGTGGGAAGAGTATATTGAATCAATTGCTAAGTCTGCAGCTCAGAAACGTGGTTCACTATATCATGCCAGACAATTTTTCTCGCCAGAATCTATCTTACATATTTATAAGTCTACCATTCCTCCTTGTTTTGAATATTGATGCCACACTTGGTTTTGTGCTCCTGCTCTATACTTAGAGATTCTTGATGAAATCCAAAGAAGAATCAGCAATATTATTGGTTCTGACCTGGCATCTCAGTTTCAGTCCCTTTCCCACAACCGTAACCTAGCTTCTGTAGCGGACCGTGGCTGTAATGTTGTTGAGTAGAAGTAGAAGAAACACATGTGGGTTCAGATTTTCCTGCTCGCCGGCCCAACTACATGAAAAGGTTGGACTTGAATTAAGTCCAAAGAAGAAGGCAAAGAAAACAAACAAAACACAAGACCGATAATATATGTATACAAATATATATATTAATAACAAGTTACACGAAAACAGTTACAAAAGACAAAGTGTGTGTGAATATTATATATGTGCGTTTGTGTGTGTGTGTGTGTATTGTGTTTAGCGTGTTCCCACGCTATCCATTGTTAGCGCCTACATTTCGAGGTTATAAGCTGAAAGCCTGAGGAAAAAGAGAGATTTACCTCCAGGTGTCGATGCGAAGGCCTGAGAGAGAAAGAGAAAGAGGCGAAGGGTCAGCGACTATTTATAGCAGCGTAGAGAGACCCCTGGTGAAAGGTGTAGGGTTCAGCGTACCCGGATTAAAGGAGAATTTAATACGGGATACCCTGCCCACAAAATACAACGCAAATTTCAAGAAGAAACAAAACGATAAGGAACGTTTGTAGAAAATAGAACCTTGTATATTTATTATCTTGTGAATAGGGTAAAAAAGATTAATGTTTTAGTTCGTTTAAGCAAAAATGTGATTTTGACAGAAAATATCTGTGTTCGCTGTCTTTCAACAGAGTAATGTCTGTTTCTTTTGTTTTTGTATAGTTGTAAAGGAAAAAGGGGCTATCAATTTAAGTTGAAAAAAAGAGTGTGTGAATGAGGAATAAAGATAAAAGGAAAATGTACTTATGAATTGTTTTGGAATCAGTTGTTGTTGTTGTGGTTGTCCTTTCCTAATCCACTTTCGGCTCTTAGTGTCGGGTTGAGTCACTGTCAGTCTTCTATGATCTTTGCGCCCTTCTGACTCGGCGACTGACTTGAAACTCTCTATTTATTGTTGACTTTTTTTTCACACTGGCTCGTTATCTTTTTTTTGGTTTAGCAAATCGCCTCCTTTAATTGGTCAGAAAATTAATTTCACATCTTATTGCGAAATCTGTTTTTAATCGTTTTGATCCGATTTTGCGGGTGTGCAAATCTACTTTGTGTTTTTTTAGTCATTTGTTGGAATGATATAGAATTTGTATCCTATAAAGGGTTACGAACTGAAGGAGGAGTTAACTCCGACACTTCCTTGTACCTTTTCTATAAATACTTCCATGGAAGTTGTTCTAATGAACTTTCTGCTATGGGGCATAAAATTTATGAATTTAAGCCCAGTATTGGATTGGCATCAAGGTCTCATCATTTTACAATTGACATGCTTAGATATAACCGTAAGTTCTATGCTAACAGTTTCTTCTATCACACTTCTCGCTTGTAGAACTCTCTTCTGGCTTCTTGCTTCCCAGTCAACTTTGATCTCCATTAATTTAAATGTAATGTCAATCGTTATATTCCTGTCTTCTTAGTTCTTGTTATTTTATTATGCTCTCTCCTTAATAGCGTTTTTCTCATATTCTCTAACACTGCGTCCTAGGGGCTTTATTGCCTTGCTTGAGGTAAAATGATTAAAAACAATGTTTGAATAAAGTATATATAATGAACCATAGTCACCTCTTCTAAGGATCAGAGTGTAGTACCTGCTCAATAAGGTAATATTACATATTCACCCAAATACTTAACATGTACCCAGTATTCGTATCAAATTACATCATAATGTTTTGGCGCGATCTATTTTATTTTATTGGAATGTCTGACACCACAGCCACAACCACAACTTCTTGTTTAAATCTATTATTTGGTGAAGGTTTGTTTATCTGCACTACTTATAATTTTTAAAAAAAGGGAGTTGCGATCAAAAAAAATGTTACAGAAATGCTGGCAAAAATTGACGATATTTAAATGCAAATATGAAAGAAATGCGAGTGAATGTAACTAAAAACGCCTGTGATAGAAGATTGGACTGTAAAAACTCACGTCTATAAAAAAAAAAAAAAAAAAAAGTAGCACAATTTTTTGGAGGGACAATATCGATTGACACCGGTTCATTATTGGAAAGCATGGCAGGGTTTATAATTAGACGAGCAACGGCAGCGGACTGTGAAGAAATTTGTCAATTATTTCAGGTAATTAAGATTTTTTCTCTTTTTGGTCAGAGTTCAATTTACAGCCCTTTGAGATTGTGTCACATCCCGTCACCGTGTGAGGAGGGGCGAGTAAACAATTAGTTTAGTCAATATTTTTTCTTTTTAAATTTGTTTGTCTTTTTTGGGGAACATTATCGCCTTTAGCCCTAGAGAGTAAAAAAATTATTTTTTCTGATCCATGTTGGAATTCAGGATTTTCTTGTCATTTCCAAAAGTATGTTTTACTTCCAGGAGATCCGTCCCTAACCACAGTAAACTTTTCTTTTCCCATTTACCTAAAAAGACGAAGAAGAAGAGTGATAACATCAAAGTTATTCCCTGTTGTCTAGAGCGTACCAAACAAAGGACAGTTTGTGTCTCTACTCACACGTGTGTTGTTAGTAAGTAGTGTCTACTACAAGATAGAAACTTTTGTGTTGAATTTTTGCTCTCGTCCTGGGTGTAACGAAGAAAATAAATAAAAAATGATTTTATTTTGTCTAGAAATACACCCGAAATTGAAAAGTTGGTTAATTTTTTTTTTTTTTTATTATTTTACCGTTACACTAGCATCTCTTATTTTGATTTTTGATTGTGAGAAATAAAAATTAAAAGTTTCGAAACATAAACTATAACAATGGTGGGTGGAAGAATTGCTATATTGCTTGCTCGGGAGAATGGACTGAATCTTGTTTTTTATTTTTCCCCACCTGATTAAAATGTTATTGTGCTTATAAAGTTTAAAGGGACCCTATTGTTAATGTTAAGTGTTAGACGAATACGACTGCTATTGCCACCAGAGCCACCACTCATCTGTTTTGTTCCGTTGCGGAGAGCATCTTTTTCGCAACTTTCTGAGGTCCTATGCATGGGATGCGTCTCCCCTAATTTTGAAGATAGAGCCAGAGACCCGTCTCCATCGAAAATTAGCGGAATTTTCGACACATTGTGAAAAAACTATTGGTGTATCGACTTACTACTTATGCAGCATGGACGACACTCAAGAAAAACTGTCATCCTGGGTATGACGTTAAACTGCACCCAACAGCAAAGCCTCTGATCAGGAGGTTTTGAGGAGCGTGGAACCACCTCTTAATTGCTGGTGTTCCCAGGTCCATCCTGACCCCGGGTGGTAGCACCTGTTAGAGTCCTAGCTATGGGCAAATAGCGAACTCCCAGCTTTTTTCCAGACCTTACCCACGTCCTGGGTATGACGAAAAACTACATCCACGTCCTTGGTATAGCAATAAATAAACTCCATCCGCCTACTGGGTATGGCGATAAACTACATCCGCGTCCTGGGTATGATGATAAACTACGTCCAACAGCAAGGCCTCTGATAATGTTTTTGAAAAAATAATGTTGCCAGCTGCACGTTTTTGAAAAAGTAATGTTGCCAGCTATACGTTTAATAGTACTATATATATATATATATATATATATATATATATATATATATATATAAAACTAAATTTGGCATTAAATGACCTACAGTGGTTGATATGCCATAAAATCCAACCAACCAAGAAAAACTGGTCAGTCGTTGGATTTTTTTTTTTTTTTAGGTAAAAAAAAGTGAGGTTACTTTGAGAGTGAAATATGAAAGGTAACGCCACCTCAAGTATTTGCCTTCCTTTTTTTTTCTTTTTTTTTTTTCGTCGATATACAGAAGAATGGTTAATTGAGCTCGCAATAGCTGTGGTTAGGCTGCAGCAACTGTTTCAGTCTCAAGGAAACTGCAGATTTGCTAGGAAATATTGAATCCTCTCACTATCGGATGGAGATAGTGGAATTAAACAAACTTCAGTTTCTTCTCTGAGAGTTTGCTTTATTGTTTCCTGAGAGCTATAATACACCGCTGTTTATGGCAAGAAGAGCGTTGTCATTCTTAAGAAATTCACAAATACAACTAAGTGGACCCTCGTTTTCAGGACTTGAAAAGAATAAAATGAGTTTGTTTTTTTGACATATTTCGTCTGACATGAAGCTGGTGAAGTGTTATTTATTGCACAGAGTGCTTCAACTAATAAGCCACTGTACTATCAGCAACAAGAACTACAGTATTGCAATGACTCTTCTGAAAAAAGGAATTTTTGGATATGAACAAAGTTATCTTCCATGAAATTCTCTATTATATACTAAAAATGGAAAAACAAACATTCAGGCTTGCCTGCCTTCATTGCTAGAACGCAATCCATTCTGTGGGAATTAGGGAACTCGTTTCCTATGACTTTCCAGATGACAAATCAGAGGGAGCCAAAATAATGGCATAAGTTTTGTTTAATAAGTTTGCTAAGGAACTAAAAGCAGAATTAATCCTCCTTTCAGAGAAAAAAGTATCCACCTTTGTCACTTATTTTAAGTGATACCGGCGAAGCTGTAAAATGGTTAACAATAAAAGGAAAGAGTTTGCTCCCTGAACACACCTAGGAACTAGGAAAGAACCCACCAAAAAGACCTAGGGGTACCTACAGCAGAAAATCATCTTTTAGCATTGAGGTACTTTCCGTCAGTACAGATGAAAGAGCTACTTGCTTAATACAGAAGAAATACAACTTTTGTCATACAACAGGTCATCTTAATTCAGCCCATAAAACTTATTCTACAGTGGAAAGTCATCTGGGCCAGATGCAGGGAATTAAGACTATGCTTTTATTGCACAAGAAATGGATGCTTAGGAAATATGGTTCTTCTAAAAAAAAAAAAAAAAAGCAATACAAGGAATTGTTTCCATTGCTGAGCACACAGGTATATAAGTTGTCATGGGCAATAAGAATCGAACGAACCATAGGTTTCAGCAACCTTTTGCTAACACTGTACCGATATTTGTGCCTCCCCAAAAACTTGATATGGATCCTCATTGTCCTGTTAAATCTGATACTGTTTCTACTAGAAAAATAAGATTTGTCTTCTGACAAAGAGTGAATTTTCTGTCTCACTGAATGAAGCAGCTTACCCAGGTATTAATCTGAGGGATAACATGCTGGATTTGCCACACCTATTTTGAACAAATAAGTATGTCCTTACTGATATTAAAAAAAAATTTTTTTTAAAGATTTGCCCATCTTCAGAAGCTGACAAAAATAGGTTCTGTTTCTTTTAAAAAAGAAAATCAACGTTGCTGTTATCAATAAAACACAATTATATCTTTTCTACATCTCTGAGATGAGGTATTATGATTATTTCCATTATTCAGACTCTTATCCTCATCTTCATTGCCATATTCACAATGTTTCAGCCATTGTACACTCCAGCTTTCTTCAAGTGATTGGAATTTTGAACCAAACCCTTTATTTTATCCACTGGGGTTGATTGTTTTAGTTCCATGTGTCATGCTTTAAGGACACATGGCCCAGCGGATAAAGACATTGGTTAGATCCAGTGACTAGACTCAAAGAGTTGTGAGTTCAGTACCATGCTACAGCAGTGGTGAACCAAACAAATTTTGGAAAGTTGGGTTAAAGGGAAATAGCTGAGACATCCAGAAGAGGCATGACACGTGGAACTAGAACAATCTACACCGGTGACCGAAATAAAGGGTTTAATTTGAAATTCCAATTGCTTGAAGAAGGCCGGAGCATACAACAGCTGAAACATTGTGAATATGGGAATGAAGATGAGGATAAGAATCTGAATAATGTAAATAATAATTATATTTAGATTTACAGCTAGGCCGCTTGCTTTAAACTACGTACTTAAACACCATGCCATTAAAACCTTTTATAATCTTGCAAATCTATGCTGGAATCTAACTTCTATATGGACAATCTCGTCAAAATCCACTGTGATTGAACCGAATTATCTAATATGTCTACACTCTTGAGGCAAAACCTAGAGGCGGGAAGTTTTGCAATACAAGCATGAAATTTCAATTACCCTGAACTGAAAGAGAAAATGCAAAGTGATGGGACTTTAATTACTCATGGATATACAGGGTAGTCTGAAAGTTATGTCACACCTACATAATATAATTTTCTATTTCAACTCTCTGTCGGGTATTATCAAGAAAAGTTTCACATGAATGATACCAGAATACCCATCAGTTGAAGGTGGTTGTTCAGTGAGCCTTTGCAAAAATCAATGAAGCAGAGCTTCGTAAAATACCACACAGGACATGGCGCATTATGTTGTGCCATGAAAATGATGGCGTTTCTATAGACATTTCAATGCATGACAACATCAGTGAAAGTGAATAAACTGAATCAAGTACATATGCTTTGTATTACATGTTCTTCTATTGTTCTCGTTAAATTTTTGTAGGGAATGAAAAGACTTTCGGACCATACTGTACATGGGAGAAAGTCTTGTGGTACCGTTACAATATACACAAACAGACAATCTGTGCCTGACTTCTCAAAGATACAATCCCGAAACTGCAACTAAAAGAAAGATCCTTGCTGAAATGTCTAAATCTGAATCGAAAGATCCTTGCTGTATTTTCCAGTCACAATAAGGGTTCAGGGTTGCAATAGACCAGAGGATAGAAGTGATATGATTGTCAGTGACAAATGCAATGACTGGCATCACATTGAGAGTGCTTTTAAAATAAAAATTGCGATGGAGCAGAATATAAATGTTACCAGCGATTCTCTCTCATTCTCTCTCTCACTCACTCACTCACTCAATGGAAGCATTACTGTTGGTCACTTGGGAGAATGGACTCAATTTTCTTGTTTTCTCCCACCTGGTTAAAATGTGATTCTCCTTTGGGACTTAAAAGAAGCACTGTAAATAGATGAAGTGGTTACTGTTGTTAACCACTCATCTGTTCTGTTTTGTCGCAGAGAGCATCTTTTTTGCAACTCCATCAATTATTATCAGGACATTCTACGCGGCTTTCCTCTTTTTTTCCTGAAGACAGAGCTAAACCCATCTCCATCAAAAGCTAACAGAGTTCTCGACATGGTACAACATAAAATAACAGTTGGAGATGATACAAGTGCAAATAGTAAAATAATACAGAATAATTTTAGGTTCTGACCAGAAACTGCCAACTCGTTGAGATATAAATTTTATTTATATTTTTGCTTTGTTTTTAATGTGTGTTGTGACCCATCAGTTTTGGCATAGTTTTTATATATTTTTGTTAATGGAGTTTTGGGGGGTTTTTTGTTTTTTTTTTCTTTAGGTAGTGCCAAAAAAAACAATTCCTAAGATTTATAAAAGACTCATTTTTAAAAATTTGTATTTCAAGCTATTTTAAATTTAATATTTCTCGTAAGCGAAGCACTTTGCAAGGTAATTTCCTATTTTATGTTCATAAAATCAAAGTGAACTATAAAGTTTTTCATTTAAAAAAACATTTACAAAATTAAAAGAGGTACATACTGCGAACAGTGAGGAAAAATGTAATTGTTTCACCAAACAATCACATCAGGATAGCTGGGAAAATCACATGTTTTGTTCTAAGAATTATCAGTGAATCTTACTCTTACAGGTTTTGTCATCAATAATATCAGCACGTTTCACACATGAGTTTTTAATCAATCCAGGGCAGGTACACCACTGAGTACAATATATGAATCCGACATATATCGAGTCAGTGTATTGATAATATGCTCTTCTTTCACTGAATACCCAGAGTGTAATAAGTATTTCATGTGGATTGACAATGAAACAGGAAACTGCAGTGTATCCACAAGGAATGTTTATGATGATGAAATCATTTTTAAACAAAAGCCGAAATTAATTTTGATTAAAACACACTCAATTTTACAAACGTATAATAAGAAATTACCCTTTGATCTATTTCAAACTGAATTTATTTAAATTGATTAGAATGAGTTTTGTTTGATATCATTAAAAATTGCTAAACATTAGCCTTATTAATGAATCTGACAATACTACATGATTTTCTTCATTAAAAAATTTTTTAAAAATAAAATCTACTTTTATGAATCTTTATTTGAGGAACATTAGCTGATTTAAAGTTTAATTAATCTGATTTGAAATAAATATTAGAGACTTTTACTTAAAAATAACACAGAGGTGGGTTTTTTATGAGGTATTGACAGCTATCTCAATACTTATGTTTGGGATTATTTCTACAGGAAACATAACTGTAAAAGTTACTTGGTAAATATAAGGTGACCACCTTCTTTATATAATTTTTAATTACCAAGTAATCTTAAAAATGTAGGACAATATTTTAAGTAATCTCATATTTTATTGAATTTTAGGTACTTTACAATGACTCTAGTTGAGTAAATGTGAGAAAATTACCAATAAATTTGAAATTTACTATAATCACTGGTCTTATTTGCAGATAATGTTGAGATTCATATTTATAAAAATTGGCAAATTTATACACATAAAAATATCAAAAAATTTTTTAACATAATTGTTGTAAACTTTTCTATTTATGATTAAAAAATATAGTTTTTACTTAATAACAATATCAACCTAACAACTATAAAGTAATACAGAATTTAGAAAAATGTAAAACTTTATAAATTATTATAATTAAACTTTTTAAAAATGAAAACAATATTTGTAAAAATTATTCTTTTAAAAAAACAAATTTTTGAACAATATGTTCATAATATTTCTTTTTCTTAAAAGTAATTAAAACTTTTCTAATTAAATGTCATCATTTTATGATTCAGAGCAGATTTTCAGTAACTGGGGCATCCTGTTTTACAAAGAAAAATAGATTTAAATTCTCCAAGGTCTTTTACTTATAACTAATAGAAACATTAAGCTCTACAAAAATGGATTTCTCAATATTTCATAAAATTAACAAAAAAAAAAAATCTTGGTCCAGTCTACTTACAAAGATACAAGTAAATCAGCATTTTTATATGGAATTTCTTCTTGGAAGGACAAATGTCTTCACCATCTTCCTTCTCTATATATACACGCACACACATAAGATGTATTTCAGCAACAATAATTATCTCAAACATGTTTAGTTAAATAATATGTTCTGTCTATTTATTTTTTTTATTTAAGTTTTTGATTAAAACCAATTTCAAGTCACTCAAGGTGATATCATGTAAATGGTCAAAGTTAAATCTTAGTGCAAGTCACGTACATCTAGGTGAATATACGACAAATAAGCAAAATAATATGAATATAAAACAAATCTTAGTAGATAACACTGAGAATTTTATATAGGACAGAGTGCAAAGAAAGATTCCAAATTCTGGAGGATGTTGGAATAAAAAAGAAGCAGCCTACATTAAATAAGGTGTCTTTCCTCATTGGGGATCATTTATTAAAGTGTTTTTTGTTTTCTTTTTTTTTTTCTTTAATACAAAATTTACAGTTTAACTTTATATAAATGAATGTAAGCATTGAGGCCTACAAATTCTGTGTGCTCTTAATTAATATCTAATGATTATACCTATTGGGAAGATCGCTAGCATCTCGATCTGTCCAGTGTCAATTGATATCAGGCAAATCAATAGAATTGAATGGAAAGTTATAGAATTTTCTAGAATGTTTTAATTGCACTGCTATATAAGTAATGCAGGTGGAGCAGTTGGATTTTCTTTTTGCCTTTCTCGTTATACACTATTGGAAAGATAGTTAATAAACTTATTTGGATTATCACTGTCCTTTCTCTGTGAGTGAACGAGAGAAACACGACAATACCGGATTTTATTTTACTTTTATGATGAAGATTTACATGAAGAGGAGAAATACATTGAAAACACTTTCAATCTTCTTGAGTAAGTACCCTATTTATTTTATATTCAATGTTAAACAAAAGGCTCATAAAATATTCCAAAGTAAAAAATAAAAAAGTGGTCCCACTTGACAAACCTTATCAATCAAAAGGACCTTTGCAATAGATTTAGGTACCCACATTTATACAAATATCTATAAGTGTAGCCACTCTGGTTTGTATATAGCAATAAAACTGCAGATTCACCAAATCAACACATGTCTCAGGACAACTGAATGTCATATAAATATATAATTTCCTTTGAGGCAATATTTCTGAATGTATTTTCTGTGACCTTTGATGTCTAGTTACTGTTGAATAAACATTATTCTAGAATATGACTGTGCTTTAAACGGGTTACCCAAGGCATTTGAAGTCTACTCCTGTTCAAAGAAACAAGAGTATGAACTGGATGATAGATGAGCCTGTCTAATCCTATTGAGGGAAGGAGAAAAAATTAATGAAGAGTTGGAGTAGACATTAGAAGTAACTGGAAACCCAATCTTAAACAGGGAACAAGGGTTAAAACTCTACACCTGTACAGCAAAAAGTAATGCACTTTTTTTTTTCTTTTTTTTTAGTGAACAAAAATAAATTATAGTTTCTTTAAGAAAATTTGTAAGTATTGTCACATCAAAACAACATTTGCTATGGTTAACAAACTATTTAACATGTTCAAAATGCTCCCCCCACTTCTTGCTCAATACAACACTGAACCTTATGAGAAAAACTTCTACAAACCTTTTTCTTTTTTTAAATTTCTGCAGAAGCAAGTCAGTTCTGGTAATAAGCAGACATCACCTTCACCTGAAAGTAAGTTTGTCAGATTTTTTTCCTTAATTTTGGATGCTAATGTATTTCAAGCTGTTTCTCTTTTAAAAGTCTCCTGAATATGGAAAGTTCTACTTATTTAATAAAACTGAAACACATAAGCTCATGTATCTATACTGAACTTCTTTTTCTCTATTCCTTATTGACAAAAGACTGTTATTATTATTATCATACATATATAACATTATTCGAGTACAAAAAACAAAATTGTGACTACAAAACAGGAAGTTGAACGACTATATTGAATCCATTTCTAGATCAGCTGCTAAAAAAATTTGTTCACTGTGTTGTGCTAGACAATTTTTCTCTCTCCAGAATCTGTCTTAGATATCTATATGTCTACCATTCATCAATGCTTAGACTATTGCTGCTACATACAGTCAAGTGATGGATAGCAGCTTGGATTGAGGAATTGGAGAGCCGAATTCGAATTCCAGTCGAATCAATTACATTCACTTACGTGCTAATACCCTTGGGAAAAGTGTGAATCCTCTTCTTCTCCCTACAGCTATGGGTAAATAGCAGGACAGACTGGGTTCTATAGCCTTAGATGGCAACTGGTCTAGGAGAAGGAAAACTCTGAATTCAAAACCTGCGGAGGGTCGTTTGGGGACCTTGTGGCACGTAGTGCACCAGGTCTCTGTAATCAGCCCTTCAAAAAGTGTGGATGGTCCTGCACGAAACATTCACCACTATAATCAAATCTAATGTGCTGTTGTCGGGCTGTCGGTTTCCTGGGAACTGATCTGAAGCCTATAGATGCAGGTTTGGGGACCGCTTGTTAATTCCAAATTCCCATGAAACTCCAATATTGGAGCCGGCTCAACCCATCCTGGGGGAATGCCGTTACAAGAAGAGAGATACGGTCCAGTGCCCTTGCTATTTACCATGAACTCCCTGATAAAATCCAAAGAAAAATCAGCAATATTATTGGTCCTGATCTAGCAACTTGGTTTCATTTATTTTTCCAACACCATAAGGATGGTAATTGTTCAGATAAATTCTTCACCATGTTGCCTAGCTTTTTAAAATTTAAACACAGTACTTGACTGGCATCAAAGCCTCATTAAGTTGATTTAGCTAGATGTAGACGTAAGTTTTATACTGTTTCTTTTCTTGCACTTCTCACTTGTGGAACTTCCTTATGACTCCATGCTTTCTAGCCAAGTTTAATCTCCAAAAATTTAGATGCAATGTTAATTGCTATCTACTGTCCTGCTGATTACTCTTTCCTCACCCTTCTCATTATTAATGTTTCTGTTCCTAATTCCTCCACACCTAGCAAACCCGTGTGTCTCAAAGGCTTTTCTGCCTTGCATGGGGTGAAACTGATTAAACAAAAATATTAACATTGAATATTAACATGTATTCCTGTTTTTTTTGTTTTTTTTTATGAATTCCAATAATCTTTAATTTTCTTTATCTGAAACCTGTAGCCCTGAAGAAAGATGGTTTGGGGAAATTATTTCATATACTTGTTGCTGAAGATGAAAAATGTAAGTAACCAAATTTGTTTATTTTTCACCTAAATTAATTTTGCAATTTTTACTCCAAGATTTAGAAAAAAAAATGTTAATCATTTTAATATTTCATTTATAGTCTGCATGTTTTGAACTCATCTCTGCAGCTTCAGTGAAACAAAAGCCTTCATGTTTCAAACTCACACCTATGGCTTCAATGGAGCAATTCCTTTTACTTCTCAATCTAACCTCTACAGTTTCAATGAAGAGAAAGCCTCCATGTTTTAAATTTACACACCTATGACTTCAATGGAGCAATTCCCTCCACTTCTCAAACTCACCTCCATGACTTCATTGGAGCAAACGCCCCAACATCTTCAAGAATGAAATAAATCAATCTCAATAAGAAATTAATTGCTTAGCTGACAATGTCAAGAGGCTGAAAATTGAATGTAAATGTCAATTGATAAACTGAGACAATATTCTCCATTATCCAACCTTTCTTTTTTTTTGCTTCAGGTGCAGCAAAACAATTGATTGGTTACCTGTTCTTCCATTTTACCTTTTCTTCATATAAAGGCAAATCCATTTTGTTGACTGATATATACATCTCACCTGAATTTAACAAGAAAAGTGTTGCAACAGAACTCTTCGTTCATTTGTGCAAGGTGAGTTAATTAAAAAAATTCTCTCTCATTCTTACAAACTGCTTGTTCTATTTTTTTAATTTCTAATAAAATTACACCCTGTTGGCGGGGCTTCAGAATACGTCGACTGCACCTCTCCAAAGAGTAAAAGTCCCTCAATGGGGCCACCTGTTGGCCGTGGGTGGCGACCCGTGTCGTCTGGGGGCGGGAACCTAGTGATTGAGCAGGGCATGGCCTGGGTGCAAAGAGGTCGTGCTCATGCAACACTTTGGCCCTTACCTGGGCTAGACAGGCACTCAGAGAGGCCCTATCTGATCAATCGGCTAGTCACGTCAAGCACTAATACTTACTCGCATAAAAACCCATCTATCTAAAGCCCATAAGATGTTACACAAAACCTGTCCGACACTTTACTACAAACAAGAGATAGATCATAAGTAAGTATTAGAAGGCGGTGGCAAGGGTCAATCTACTAGTAAGGAAAAGCCATTAGAGATAAGGATTTTAACTGACTTTTTCATCAAAAACAGGTCAGGAAAACAAAGTGAAGCCTGAAATGCTAACAGCCACTTACTAGTGCGAGTATACCTTCCTTGTATCCCTGGGATAATAGGGCGAATGGGTTTCCTCCCTAGCATCTCCCACTGATGGGTTCCGAGGAGGGTGGGGAGCAAGGAAGGTGAATTTAAAAAAAAATAAAACTCATGGCAACAAATAAAAACAAAAGACCCCATATTGAAAACAGTTTGGAGAGCCTATACTCTGAAACCGAGTCAGACAACGAACTTGATCAAAAGCTGTTCCCTAGATTTATTGTCTTAGAGTCAATAGAGAACACCCCAATCACTAAGTTGTCTCCATTCATTGTTGAAAAAACAATGAAATTTTTAATAAAAACTTTATCAATAAAAAAAACTAAGGAACAACACCATTTTAGTTCCATATAAAACTTCAGCAAATATGTTACTGAAGCAAAACTTTTTTTCTAAGCTTAAGATAAAAGTCTACCCCCCACACTTCTTTGAACTCCCCAGAGGCTTGCTATATTCTTTTCTTCTTTTCTAGACTCAATGGCTAATTTCTGTGAAGACAAGGTTTTTGTTTCACTTTCTTTAATCCTTTTGATAACCGTAAGAATTGAAATCAAACAAATGTATCGAATTCAAAATATGGAAACAACACTACCCCAAGCAACCAAGCAGCAGGATGGTTCCAAAACTGAAGAATAGTTTTAGTCTATGTCACCTCAGTGAGTAATTCTGTAATTTCAATGAATGGTAATGAAAAGGAAATGTTCATGCAACAGATTAAATGATCTGGCACAATATTTTATTAAAAAATGTTTAAAACAAAGGTAAGAAAAATCATTGCTCACCAAAATGATATATGGTTTACATATGTTAAAAAGTAGACAAAGGGAGATTGGATTGTTAAAATAAAGTTATTTGAGATGCCAGGCACTTTGTTAAGGCTAATAATACAATTAGCGAGTAATTTTAGACACTGACGTGTGAAAAAAAATGAAACTTTTTCACATGACATCAGACACCCTTCTCTTGTTAATTTTTTTTAATCATTTTATAGCAAAACAAATTTTGCTGAGGCTCACTATATTCTTTGCTTTTTTTTTTTTTAAGACTCAACAGTAAATTTCTGTGAATACAAGATTTTCGTTACTCGAAAGAGAATTTCACATAGGCTTGCGGACTTCTTTCCGTCTTTTTCCTCAGCTCGCCTGAATTCGAAGTGAGTAGGTAAAGGGAATTGGTATTATTTCACACTCACCACAGATTCAAACAGTAAATGAAAGATTTTTATCCACAAAAGATATTCATACATGTGATTTAATGATAAAATATTAATTTCTTTTTTCCTATTTATTTTCAGATTGCAAGTGAAGAAGATTGTGCCAGACTAGAATGGGCTGTCAGAGAATACGATAATGAAAGGAATGAATTTGTGGCTATTTCTAATGCCACAAACATCATGAAGATGGAAAGCAAGAGTAAATGGCGTTTATCAAAGGAAAAAATATAACATTTTAAAATATTTACAAAAGATTTTCATATATATATATATATATATATATAGAGAGAGAGAGAGAGAGTTAATAAAAATATAAAATTTGTCACTGACCTGATTGCTGTTGCCTTCAACATTCCAACTCTCAAGACGGATTCTCCAGCAATCACTCCATCCAGTCATCAGGGAATATCAGCAATTATATATAAATGTGTGTGTGTGTACGTGTTTGGATGGGGGACCAACTTCAAAACAGATGCATAAATATGTATAGAAAATATTCACATGCCTTTCCGTGGACATGCTCTGGATTGTGGGAAATTTGGCAAGTTATCACCAGCTGTTAATACTTGATTATAAAATAATTAGCACTTATACACATTCAGAAGTCAACTCACTGAAATTTCACCTAACCAGAAACAACCTTCCGAGCAACAAACAGTATGGGTTTTGCCCTTCCAGATCCATTGCTGATGTTTTAAAAGTCATTACCCACAGAATTAGTGAAATACTCGATGGTACCTCCACCACTAAAGCAATCACCTTAGATAGCTCAAAAGCTTTTCACAAGGTGTGGCATCGATTGTTGCTCAAACTCTCCAGCTATGATATGCCTGGAATATTTTATGTAATTACCAAGTCCTTCTTCTCAGGATCAGTCTATGAAAGTTGCTGTGAATGGCTGTGAGATCAAATGCAGACATCCATTGAAAAATGGTGATGGCTGATGTAGCTGAAAAATTCTGGAAGAATTTCTGCACATTTCATCAATCCTCGCATCAGATGTTCTTTGAAAAGTTTGATAACTTGACGCTCAAAATCAATGAGTTGTGTCACTATACAAGCAGCAATTAATCAACCACAAAATCAAGCAGCAATTAATCAACCATAAAAGAATCAATCAGAGTTAAGTAATTACACGAGAGTCGAATAAATATTCAAGAAATTTATTCACGGTTATTCAAAGTTAATTATTACTTAAGTATAAAACAGTGATAATAAATTTTCCACTTTTTTACTGAGCACTCTGTAGTAGTGTTTCATCATCACCATTGCAGAAGTGGGTGGGGCAGAAGGTGCGATGGCCCTGGGCATCAATATTGGGAAGACATCTAATCAAAGAGTGAAATAAAAATTTAATTTTTGAAATTTTAAATTGTTTCTGTTCACTTTGTTGTACAAGCATCCTACAGTCCTACAAATCCCTTTCTCACATTTCTCAGTGCTAGTGCTCATTCAAGCTTGTGTCTTAGGGGCATACAATCGAGGTGTTGGCCCCAAGCATCACCAAATCACTGCATGCCACTGGTTCAAACCCAGAGTTTTCTCTAGTTACGATTGTTGGTTATCCACACATAACTTTGTCCGTTTTGTCAAGAAGTCATTAGATAGCAATTTCAAGCAACTATAAAAATAAAAACAGGACACTTCCTGTCATCGTTCTCTTTTTCTTTCTTTTCCTTCTAGCATGCGATAGAAGTGGCAACGCCAACCGAAAACTCCCCAGTCATGGAGATTTTTCCTTTAGTGACCGAACTGTATTCACTCAAACACACACAGAATTCCTAAATTGTAATATCTTTTTTTTTTTTTCATGCATAAGAGTGTTTTTTTTATCTCTTTTTATTCACTTATATAAAAACACACAAAAAATACCGCTTTGTTGAAATTGTTTTTCATTTCCTTTTACTCGTCATTTACCTGAGCAAAATGTTGTTGCCGCTACTTTTAGTCTAACTCTGAGCAGTACCTCCAACATTTTGTGACTTTCCAAATTTATTTCAAGTCCTCTCATTGAGTGATTGGAGGTTTTGAGGAGCATGGAACCATCTCTTAATTGCTACTCCTGGGTATGATGATAAACTGCATCCGCAAGTAGGGCTTCTGATTGGAAGATTGGAGGTTTTGAGGAGCGTGAAAGCACATCTTAATTGGTGTTATTCCCAGGTGGTAGCACCTGTTAGGGACCCAGCTATGGGAAAATATTACCCCCAACCAACAAAAAGAAAAAATACTAAATTTAAGGGTTAATTAACTCGATTTTGTAAATGTAATGCTTACTCTTTGATTAAACATAGGTACCTCCACGAGATCGCTAAAAAAAAAAGAGCATAGCATGATGAAAAAGACACCAAACTTGACGAAAACAAAATTTTATTGTCTAAATGTTTGTTATTATTAAGAGGAAAGATCAAAGTATTTTTGAGGTATTTTTTTACATTTTTTAATAGTTCCTAGCACGTCCGAAATTTGTTAAAAATCTTGTTGGCGGGGGGGGGGGTGAGTCAGCAAAATTGACCATTTTTTTTCCATTTTATAAAAAAAATGGAAATCTCACTTTGAAATTCTTTTAAATATCAATATTTTAGATTTCTTTTCATTTTAGCAACTGTTAGATTATTTTTTGTATGGATGTTCAAAAAGGAAATAATTCTAAATTACCTCCTTTCATTGAATACACATTTTATATAATAATTTAAATTACAAAAGACCACATTTGGCATAGTTAAATATCTCATAAAGTTCGACATGTAAGAAAATAATCAAAAAATGAAACTGATGTATTAAACTAAAAAGTTTTGTTTAACTAAAAAAAAATCTATTTGTAATGTATCATAAAATAAAATTATTAATTATACTCAGTTTTATAAAAGCGTACAGAATAAAAAATTGTATTCTTAAACAATTTGTTACATAAGGTTAAATATATTTATTTTTAAACAAAAATACCAATTTATTGATTATTGCACTTCTGGTGATCCGTATTTATTTGCATAAATAAATGTTATTTTCATTATGTTTAGCTACGTTATTCAGTATTATCTCGTTTTTAAGTCGCCATTTTGATCATTAATTACCAGCAACCCAAATAGTGTCACACATCATTTAGGAATAAAACTTTCGAGATAAACTTGAACTCAGATTTGCAACGACCAGCAGCGATCATCTTCAACGACCAACATCGACCTCAACTTCGACGACCAACCAACCTTCCCCGTATACTATCTGTTGTAATAACTACGGGAGGTTTTCGACACCGACCTCGACCATCAATGCCTGCACTGCAACGTCCAACCGTCGACACGACCGAAACGTCAACTCCCGACTACAACCGTTGACACGACCGGAACGTCTGCATCTCTACCTTTCCGACCACCTTTATTTCTTTTTATAATAAATTAGTATATATCCTATATATATATATATCCCCGTTCTGTCGAATGTGCTGTTTCACCTTGTCAGATTTAACGTCTTCGATACGAGAAATGTTAGCGGGTCTCTTGTGACCTCATCACCTCTGCGATACAGAGACGCTCGGGCCGCGCTTTCATAACGCGCACCACCACCCCCCACTCCAGGGGGTCCGCTACAAATTGATATGATCGCTGCTGGTCGGGATGCCAACTTGACGTGTCGAGAAGGAAAGAGGAGCTGGCGTTGCGATGTTGTTTGGGCATATCGAAAATCCAGTGCTGGCGTTGCGTGTCCGATGTCGAAACCTCCCGTAATAATCATACCAGTAGTGTACGGGAAAAGGTTGCGGGCAGCCAGTAGGGACGGAATGCCGAGAGTTGAACATGGGCAAGGAGCCAGAAATAAAGAGAGAAGGGAAAGTTTCCAACTATCGTCAAGTTGGCAGACAAAAAAAATGGGAGCGTAACTTAATACGCAACCTGGTGGTCGACATTCCTGGTCGGAACCTCTTTTTACTTTCAAAACCGGCTCCCAAAGGCTTGATTCTTATCAGAGATAAGAATATCTTTTCTGACAAGCGAGAGCTGGAAAATATAAAAAGGAATTCCACCACCATTATTCTTTCCATGGTGCCATAAAGTCTGGTGGAAACCTTACAGCTTGTTCACTCCAACCTGTATTCATTACTTTCAAAACCAGCTCCCAGGGCCCTGATTCTTATCAGAGATAAGAATATATTTTCTGACCAATGAAGGAGCTAGGAAATTTGTTCAATAATTTTGGAGGGAAAAGTCCCCGATTCTTCGGAGCCTACCAAATCTCCATAAGTTTGGAGAATCTTTACCTATTTGGCAGTGAGACTTCTTCAACTCGCCGTCTGTAAGGTCGATGATAGTGAGCTCCAGTCAACTTCAGAACCACTTTTTCAACCAAAAAAGAGCTACCTAAAGGGTTGTCAAGAACGAACGTCGACCCACAATTCAAAACCAATTCAAAGCTGCATCCCTTCACCACTCCTTCTGACAAGGCCACTGAGCTTCTGTCGTCGACCTACGAACTCCTTCAACTGAAATATTCCTATATCTACCAACAATTTTCCTACTCTACAAGAACTGTGTTTCTAAACCTTAACAAAATTCTACTCGCTTAAAGAACTGTTTAGGCGCTCAAAGAAATATTTTGAGTAAGCCTTTTCTCTGTTATGAACATTTTCTCTTCCCTTAAAGGACAGTTCCTCTTCTCCCTTTATTTCACTTTTAATTGTCTTTATCCCTTTACCCTATTTTTCTGTATGTAAATAAACACTTCTTTTATTGTTACACACCGAGCAGGAGTTTTTTCTTCATTCGTCCGCGCCTAAAAGAGAGAATTTGTCCGCTCTAATCTTGCTGGGTTTTTTTACTCGTGTTTTAACGAAATTTTTTTAACCTCATCCCTTGCATGCGTGAAATCCGGGTCAGATTTCCCAGCACTCCACTAATTTGGTATAAATTTTTGATACCTAAGGTTTAAATTGAAATATAAAAAATGAAAACGCATTCTGGAAGATTTCTTTTTTTTTAGATTTCTTTCAAATAGAAATTATATAAATTGGAATTTCAAATATTTGCTCGATTTCAAAAACAAAGTTTACTGGCGGCCATTTCTTACATTTTAATAAGTTTTAAAATGTTCGATTTTAAAAGATTTCAAATAATAAAATGTACATTTGTGATACGTTGAGTAAAATTAGAAAATTTAAAGTTAAATTAATCTCATTTGAAACAAATGTTACTTACCTATATAGCA